GAACCCTCAGCGGCTGCAGGTAGTAAAGAAATAGTGGAGTGGTGGATTTACATATTTAGTGAAAGCCGCCCCTGAACGAAACCACAACAGCCGGTCGAGCTCCATTGGACACGTTATTTACGACCCTAAAACCTTTTCTATTGTAAACAACTTAACTTCGACACAATGGGATGATTTTATGATGGCCATATAACCTTATAGCTTTTGGTCCACTATAACTGAAACAACTTGAACACATTTTAATCAATACTAACATCTATCGTAACGCTAGTGGGTAAACAATATTTTTGGTTTTTCGATTTGGTGTATAGACGTACAAAGTTTTTGGAATTCCTACTCTGGAGCAAGCAACATACAGTTGACCATGCGAAAAACATGGATTTCCTAAATTTAATCCGGCAACGCGCAGAGACTGCCCTTGGGCTTTGTTGATTGCCATCGAGAAAGCAAGACGCACAGGAAACTGTAGTCGTTTGAATGTAAAGGGCAAATCAGTACGAACCATTGGAATGCGCGGAATCAGTTTGATTTTTTGGATGGCATTTTCAATAATCTCTAGTAATTCACTCTTTATTATTACTGAGGATTGTAGACAGTGAACATCACTAATTATTTTCTTTTGCGGTCAATACGATTTTTGTTGTAATACCAACGAAAACAATGTTGTCATTGGTGCCGCCATATATCTAATACTTGCTAACTCTTCAGAAGTAACATAGAAACGGTGTTCACGGACAAAGGGAGACGGAAGATATTGTTTTTTGTCTAGAAAAGTACCGAAGGTCTGTGCGCACGTACACAAAATAGAAGCGAACGTATGAAATATCAAAACACATCTAATCACGTTATCGACTAAAAATCAAGCAAGTACGAGTATATGAACAGTACTGTTTGGTACTATAGAGAGACAAAGAGGTCCGATATATTGCTCTGCCGTTGTGTTTTCGGACTCTTTTGAGGCCTGATAGCAATGTAGTAGTATTAGATATATGGGTGCCGCCGATTCTCTAAGTTTATAATACTTTAACAGAGAGGTTGATGTGCTGCAGTGCCATCTAGTGGCAAGTTACAGCAAAATCGATAGCGCGAAAATATTCTCAAATACCAACGTATATCAATTTTCATGAGGATCGGTTGATTGGTACAGAAGTTGGTGTGTTGCAGCGCCATCTAGTGACGAGTTACAGCAAAATGAATAGGGCGAAGATATTCTCCATAGTCAAATGCCAACGTGTACCAATTTTTATGAGAATCGGTTGAACGGTGTAGAAGTTGATGTGCTGTAGCGCCATCTAGTGGCTAGTTACAGCAAAGCGGATACCACAAAAACCTTCTCCATGAAAAACCACTTACATGTGCCAAATTTCATGGTGATCGGTCAAACGATTTCGGAGTCTATCGATCACAGACATATATATATATACCAACATCCATTTTTATATATATAGAAGATTAATCTTATTATTAATAATTACAAATTTTGTATCTATGCGATACCAGTTTGACTAATTCGTAGTCTGTTAAGATGCCGTTTTTTAAGTTGATGCAATTCATCTTCTAAAAACAATTCGGCTTGTCGAACCCAACGTGTTTTTATCACTGCTGGGATGTGTATAGATTGAATTTTAATATATATACTGGTCTATATATATATAGGTACATAAGCTGCTACTACCGGTTCATTCATGAACTACCTGAAGCGGGTGGTTGGTGTCCAGTTGGCTTATCGTCAAAGGGTAGTTTTTAAAATTACCTGAAATTGCTGGTGCCGAATTGGCGTGTTTATTTTATGACGGATTAGGCTTGGTGCCGAGTTCACTTGTACCCGTGAGTGCTGGTCGACCCAGATGGGTGTTAAACCGACCGATAATTTAAATACAGTGGCCCGTCCAACCACTGGTCATGACTGAATTTTATTGCCTGTCAGGGAAAAATTTGCTTTAGCTCACCCTTAAGTCTAATCCGGTTACAATGGGTAGGTCCGACGAAATAGCTAGAAAACGGTTTATACAACCCTTGAAAATAAGTTGAAACGCAATAAATCACTCAGAATTCAGTTTATGACAACTTCACCATCCGTATTAAACACCTTCGTAGCTAATAGACGACGAAAATCCCGCAGACATAATCTCACGAGGAGCGCTTCCCAGTGAATTAATCAATAATCAAAAATGGTTTAACGGGCCCGTCTGGCTCAGTAAAAGAGACGAAATTTGTCCAGGTAAAATCGTCCAACCGGCAGAAATATTGGAAGTATACTATCCTCAAACATATTTGGCGTTTATGACTTCACACCAATTTGACTCCCATTATAATTCAATAGGCCGTCACAACCGGATGTCTTAAACCCGCTCACCGATACCTACCTGAAAAGACCTTTTCTGGTAAAAGCACAGGGCAGGACTGAGTTTTGCATTTACCGACAACTGCGTCTTTCGAGTTTTTTATTTTAAGTAAAAACAAAGTAACTTTGTACTCAATCATTTTTTATTACAGCACAACTATTTACTTATTAACTACTACTGCTTATTTATTTATCGAAATAGTCACTGTCATCATCACTCGACTCTTCAAAATTAATAATTAACGGTGTTATCAACCGTGCCCTGTACTGGTCTTCTTCTTTTGTGGAATGTCGTACACAATTGGCCCACATTTCGGCAGTTACTTTGGAATCTTCTTCCCTAATTATGTCAATTGTTGCACTACTAAATTTTGGTGCCGTATTATTCCTTCTTATATTATTTTTCATTTGCGACCAGATTAGTTCGATGGGGTTAAATATACAATGGTACGGCGGAAGTCTAATCACCCTAAATCCACGATCTCGCGCCATAGCATCTATTTTATATTGTGTCTCAAATTTTCGAGTGTGTAACACTTCTAATAATTGTGTCTTTGTGTAATTTTCTTCAAAGTATAAATCATGTTCTGTAAGGAAATTTTGAAATTTGAAAATTTTAACAAACAAAATTACTCTGAGTCCGGTCCTTCGCGTCTCGACCGTCCCTGGCACGTCGAAAAGGTCTTTTCAGGTAGGTATCGGTGAGCGGGTTTAAGACATCCGGTTGTGACGGCCTATTGAATTATAATGGGAGTCAAATTGGTGTGAAGTCATAAACGCCAAATATGTTTGAGGATAGTATAATAGTACGACCAAAGATAATTGCGAACGCCGTCAATTACTTTACGAGGGTCTTTAGTACTTCGGACCGCAACCTGCAATAAAACCATTACGAACCCTTCGCAACGGAGGTACGTACAACTTCAGCCAAAGCCGGACGTCAAATTTTGGAGCGTTCATTTATAAATCATGGTAGAGTTAATTTTTATTGGGATTTTTCTAGGAAATATGTATTTGCAAAGATTTAAAAAGTTTTAAGAAACACACTTTCATGTGTCCTTAAAGTTTAAGATTAAATTCCTTGAAAGCGGTCCGTTTAACAATCTACCTGTTCACGTATTGAAACAAATACGGTCCTGGAAAGGTAAGGGTGGCGAGTAATCTTGATTGACAATTTTATGCTGGGTGCATTTTCCGAAGTGGTCCGAAATTTTACAACTGCAATTCCCATAATTGGAGTCATTTGTAAATATCTTTCGTCGTATGTTATAATTGCTTTGGTATAAAACCAGTGAGCGTAAATCCAATCATGGGCGACCTACCAGCGTCACGAATGGTATGGAAGCGACCGATCAAAAATACTGGACTAGATTATGCCGGTCCGCTATTCATAAGGGACGGAAAAACGCGAAATACATGTACAGTAAAGGTACATATATAGTGCACTTTTTGTATGCTTTTCCACGAAGGCAATTCATTTAGAGCTGGTCGGTAATTTGACCACGGAGAGCTTTTTGAACGCGTTAAAAAGGTTTATGGGGCGTCGAGGACTGCTAGACAAGATTTACTCAGATAACGGTAGTAATTTTGTGGGTGCACCCCATCACTCAGGTTCCCTCAGATTCTTTAATTTTCTTTCTGCTTCTCTCTTTCAGATTTTTCGATTTTTTTTTCTTTCCAGATGCTTTTCGATGCTTACTCCTACAAAAAATAACTAAAAAATTAATTCTGATGGTGTTTTTGAAAGAATTTGAAAAATTCAAAGGAATCTGAAACAATTCGAAAGAATCCGAAAAATTCGAAAGAGAAAATCAGAAAGAACCAAAGAATTCTAAAAGAAGAGTCGTAAAGGAAATGGAAGAATATTAAAAAAATTTAAATTCTCTCAGATTCTTTCAGATTTTTTCGATACTCTTTGATCGTCTCAGAATTTTTCACCTTCTCGCTTTTACAGTTAGTTTCAAAGTTGTAAGTTTCAAAATGTTATACAATTTGTTTTTTTTTTTTTCAAAACTCTGGATGTCTAGGGTAAAAACTCAACACGGATTCATAAACCACATGCGCAGGAATATCTCATTTTTAAAATCTAAGTAATATTTGCTAATGTTAATTTTGGATATGATATCATCCTAATATTGGTGAGAGTTTGAGAACAATCGGTCCAATAATTTCGGCGATTATCTGTCTAATATCCAGACAGACGGCAGACAGACAGACAGGCAGACAGACAGACAGACAGACAGACAGACAAACAGACGGAAAGGGGAGACTTACTTTTTCGTAGTCTCGGAGTCATAAAATGTCGGAAAGAATAAAAATAGCCAGTCATCCGGTAGGTTCGATTACAATACTTATGACCTAAAGTTATATAGACTGAACCTTCTTCGCTTCTGAAGCCCAATTGAACAAATACATATTCTTAGTAAATTATAAAATTTAAGGATGGGGATTTTATTTTTTGTACGATAAATTCCATAGGTTATGTTTCAAGCTAGAAAAAAAATTGGCTTACGCTCGGGAAGTAAATTTTTGTTTTCAGATCAGTTCAAAAATATCTTTAAAATCATATAAAATATTCTAAACATATAAGTTTTGAGAGTTTCAAATTTCCCGCCACTCAACTAAAAAATAAACATCTGTCAGTTGTCATCTGAGGTTGTCATTTATTTAAAAAACTAACCTATTTTTTTAAACATTCGTTGTGCTTTAGTTATACGTGAAGCAACTTTATAAAATCTGGAACAATGGGTAAGCCGTTTAGTTCATACTGTAAGTAATTCTAAAACTGATTATTTTAGATGATGAGGCCGACATTCGTGCATTACAAACTGACTTATTAACTCTTCGACAACATTTTCGTGAATATACAAACCGCAAGAGTAAGCGACAGTATAAAGAAAAACTGGAAAGACTGGATAGTTTAGAATATCAATTCGACGACTTGACACTACCAGATTTTTCAGTGGATGATATAAAGGACTTTTCTGTGAGTACATACAATGTTAACATTAACTCAACAACACCACTTTTAGTTTAGTTAAAGATTGTATTATTGTAATTGTTTTTTTAGCAATCAGAAGTTGAGGAGTTAAAGAAGAAATTAAAGAAACACATAAAATTACTGCAGATTCTTACTCAGAAGGCAAATTGTCCGATATCTAGAATTATTGATAATATTTAAGGTAATTTTGGATTCATGTTTCATAAATGTCACTAGCTGTTTATCGAAAAGTGCTATTAGTGATTTTTCCACATGGAGAAGCGACGTTTTGTACTAATATTTATATTAAACTACTTGTAAAATGTTATATTGTGTATGTGTGTATTACTGGTTGCATATCACAAACTAGCATCAAAATGTATAATTATTATAACCACGCATATTTGATTTCTGAAACATACTAACAAAAATAATAGTGGCAGTTTATTGTGTGAATAATTTAGATTTTCATTTATGTGAATACTCAATCGCTCTGAAGTAATTCCCACATATTGCATTCTGATTTATCACCAACGTATTATTATTTATTTTTTTTGGTTTGCCACAATTTTGATAATTAACATTAAATTACGTTATTAATAGAAATTTCAATCATTTACGTAAGTCAAAGAAAGTATTTATCCCATTGTTACGCCATGAGAGGCACCTGCTCAGTTAATTTATTACAATTTATTCTCTTTCTGAAGTATGTACATTTATTTTTACCTATCATGGTATTACAAGTTAAAATGATATTTTTCGTACCATATAAAATAATTCTTATTACAACAACTGACACAGCCATCTTATTAATTCCATTATAATCACATCCTCGACGCCATAAGCCCCAGCAGACAGCAAACGATAGATTAATCAACTAATACACCAAATTAACATAAAATTAGCCCGTGATGAAGGATGTAACTTTGACCTTTCCGAAACTCGGAAATGCAAAGTTGAGCGTCGAAACAGAATAACGATCGTCCCTTAATGAGCTTCGACTCGGTCAAAGTATAAAATAAAAATCAGGCAAAACCAATATTTGTGTGGGGTGGTGTTAAGGTCGTCACGATATCGATCGCAAAGGTGTCGGAAACAAAAGGCCGAACATTATCATGCGAACAATCAATTTGCAATGACGGGCCCGCAATGACGTCATTCCTAATCGCAAAATATCTCGTTTTTGTTGAGTCGTCAGACGCCCACACGATGATTTCAAAGTCGCGAAGACAATAACGAAAGTGGGGTGCAGTAGCGGCGGAGGGTAGGTGTTGAAGCGTAAAGAAAGACGAAGTTTTGTTAAATTAGCGGGGGTTGCTTTAGGTGATTGGACCGAGTAATGGTAATGGATGCGTCGGCAGAAATGACGTTCTCGGGAGTAACTTGGGATGGGTTCAAACAACCGATGTGTAATAAAGGATAATTTTTAATTAGTGGACGCGGCAAATGTAGGTTGTTAATTTGTGGGATTTTAGTGGTGCCGATCGCGGAAATAATAACCGATCAAATAAATTGTCGAAGAATTTGCATACTTATTCAGCATAAAATAATGGTTTCTATTCATGAAAAACAAGTTTATGTTAAATATTCACGATTTATGCCAAACATAGGTTGATTTTGGAATCTGTTATTCCCAGTTTACCCAAGCAGTTACAGCGAAATGTATGACAAATTATATCAAACTGATAAATAGTTGCAGTTCAGATTCCTAAACCATATATTTTTATTACAGAGGAACGCGGATTCGACAACAAGGAGTTTTATTGTGTCGTTCGTTTCTTTTACTTCCTGAATGTTAGCTGAAGGAAGTATTGTAATAGGATTATTCTAGAGAATGTCCAGTGTCGTGTTTTCTTGTCATTTCACAGCTTATAAAATACAATAAACCAGTTGTCCGTTTCCGTCCGTCTATCTGTCTGTTTACCATTTTATTAGACAGAATTTCCGAAGCCGCTATACCGATTACTTTGAAATTTTGTGCCACTAATCTTCCTGAAATTCTCAAAATATAGCATTATAATTACAGATTTGTTTTTTCTGTGTGGCAAAGATTTATTCTGTTGTTTGTGCCAAAACGTATTTAGATTTTCTTGTCTTAAATAGGCAACCTGTCTTACCTATAGATCTGTACATTTATCGTATATTAAATAAAATTAAAAATTCTGATCGTTTTTTAAATTATGAATTTTGACCATCAAAAATGTGCACTTTATAAGAGTCGTGAAGCTGAGGAAACTCTATATTATATTGGATATACAGCTGTTAAGTGGGTTGCATATCTCTACTTAACTGAATTTTTTAAAAAACCATCTCACGAAAAAATAAGAACAGACTGTGTTATAAGTATGTTAATATACATAGAATCTTGTTTGCTGATTCTGTTTGTTACTAAATTAAGCAAAAGGCTAAAAAGGTTGCCTGAATCACTTCATTGATTCAGGTTATATATTTTTAGTACGTGAGACACAGCTGAAACAGTAGATTATTACAGTGTATGTGTGTGTTTTTTTTTAAACTGCAACATAATGCATTAGAAAATTTCTTTTTGGTACAGAAGCATAGGAGAATAAATTAACTATGGTTCAGACTTCAGAGTTAAATAAATGTAAGTCCCAGGATTAACAAACTAATTCTAAGTTGGTGTATCCAAAAAAAGGAAATTATTTTTAATGCAGCAGTTTTAAAATTTATTATATGTAAATAATATATTTGTAAAATTGTAATTATTATTAGAGTGGGAGCACTAAACATCAGCTTATATGGTCAATTTTTTGGTATTTTAATTAAATGTGCATACCTATACCTTGTGTGATATTAATTTGGAAAAAATGATTGATTATGGAACATAGGAAAGTGTCTTTGTTGTAGAAAAAACAATGGAGTCTGGAACATTTAGTTACAAGATGTGGGAGACTTAATCATACAGGTAGGCCAAGTTCACATGAATTACAGAAAAAAAAAATACAAAATTACTCCCGACGGTTGCTGCAAATTTCTGAAGCCACAGGACAATAGTCTTCACAACAAGATATGTTTTTTACACGAATTTTTGACTGAGCTGACAAAACTTTTTGAATAGTTTAAACAAAATATCAACAACTCTATTAAAAATATAAAAAAAATGACGAGATCAACACACAAAAATTATTTGCTACTTTTCACGATTAGTAACCTAAGACAGTTGATAATTACGAAATAATTTCACTATACATTTTTAAAGCACGTTGCTTGGTAAAGCTCCGATATGGAAAGTGATCCCGTTTAAAAATAAAACTTCTGTAATGGGTGAATGAGGATGAGAGGGATTAAGGTCACTGGGCAGTGTTTTGTTTTTAACTGAGCCCAAAGATTTGCATTATAAAGATAATCGAATTTCATCTCTTAATAACCTATATAGGTAGTAATCTTTTTTTTAATGTTAATACCAATTATGTATTACCAAAAGTTTACACAGAAAACATTTAACACATCTTTGTGTGGACCAAAGAACTAAGATTGGGTGCGAAAATCAATTGTACAAAAAAACATGAGAACCTGTATGGATAAGATATATTTTCAGAATACACATTTTGCATTAAGGCCCGTCGCTACATTTTCTGCATGGGATTTTCAATACATTTTCAGAATGTAATCCCTCCATTACGAACAGCGACTTTACAACTTTCTTTTTTTAACAGTTTAGCATCTTTTTTAGTTTTATCGAAATATTTGCATCACGTATTTTTAAAAAACACTATCTTAATTGTTTATGAAAATTTCGGAACACGATTTTCAACAGTCGGCTTACAAATCTCTCGAAATCATAACAGATACGTTGTCGACTTTTTTGTTAGAAATGACATACAGCAAAAAGAAGCTTGTGTCGCTAGAGGCTTCTTTTTACTGTATCTCATTTCCAAGAAAAAAGTCGATAATGTATCTAGTAGGATTTCTAGAATTTTGGTAGCTGAAATTAGTAGTGGAAACCGCGTTCAGAAATTTCCATAAATAATTGAAATATTGATTTTTACAAAATTAAAAAAAGATATATAGTGAGCCAAGACCTATAAGGTTATATGGCTATCATAAAAGTAGTTGACCGCAAATAAATACCCCCTTTGTGTGGTTCGCACTAAGCTTACCGGTTGGCAATAAATCATCTTCTAAACATTTCTTGCTCATATTTAACAGGGCCGGCTTTCAAAGCGAGTGGTTATTTCGGAACCCTCAGCGGCTGCAGGTAGTAAAGAGATAGTGGAGTAGTGGATTTTCATATTTAGTGAAAGCCGCCCCTGAATGAAACCACAAGAGCCGGTCGAGCTGCAGTGGACACGTTATTTACGACCCTAAAACCTTTTCTATTGTAAACAACTTAACTTCGACACAATGGGATGATTTTATGATGGCCATATAACCTTATAACTGTTGGTTCACTATAAACTGTTTTTAAAAAAACTGCCCTCTCATTATATAATACAAGTTGTGGAAAGGTTAGATTTAAAAGTTGATAACAATAAATCTAATAACGGAGGTATGAAGTCCATTATGAAAATGTATTGACACGGCTATAAGATCAACGTAGGACGATTGAGTGATTGCGATCCATCGAGACTTTAGACTAAAATGGTCTAAAAAGTACTGTGACCCTATCCTATAAACAAATGCACTGAAATATAACTACCTCTAAAAATTTACCATTGAAGATTTACTAACTAGATAAGTAAGATAACTAGATAACACAATGAAAAGCGGTAGATTACAATTCGACCTGCTTTGGTCTCATCAGTACAGTATATTTTAGTGTGATTTGTAGCATTGAAGAGTATTCACTTTTCAAGTTAGTAACTGTTTAACTGAGATCTTCCATAGAATCTTCCGTCCGGCGGGGTTCTTGTCCGGGAAGTACCTGTTTCCACCCACTAGTTTGATTCAATTAATTAGTGCGCAAAAAAATGTAATCCGTCGAGTCACTAGCGACATCTTATATCTCACTAATCTTAGTCTAAAATATTAATTTTTCCACTGCAAACATACATTAAGGATAAGTTTAAAAAAGGATATTATGTATCTAAGTGCCATAGATTGTGGGTTATAAATAGTATATCGTATATTCCACCTTAGAAATGCTAATGTGGTATTAGATGTTTGACTGCGTGGTTAATTTTGTGTACAGTAGAACTTAATCCAACATTCTGTTTTAAATTTCTATGAAATAACTATTCAAATAAATAAAAAAAAAAAGTATGCAACGAGTCCTGATTTTTTTTACATTTATTAATTTTGATTATGAAAAGATATATACATGAATAAATAGTGCTGTTTAAGTATAGCAGTAGCGGTATTAGCTGCGTTTTTGGTTGATTTTATAGGGGATTGTAAAAAATTGACACTAAGTTTTTTTTTAATCAGGGATAATTATATTAATTAACAAATAAATAATAAAAATTGGTATGGACATGAAAATACAAAAAAAAGTTGATAATACACACATGGCTAATGCATTTTTTTATGTAGTTATACTTATCTCAAATTTTCTTATTTGTGTACTGTTTGTAATAAACAATATAAAATAAAAGCAGCCCCTCTCAACACAAAACAATTCCACAGAAGCTACGCAAATGTCAGTGTAAACAAACAGTGAAATTTTGTTGTTGTTTGCCGCACTTATAATAAGACAAAAATATTCTCAGAGAATCAATTACAGTCATCTCCAATTATTATTGTTGTTATTATTATTATTATTTCGTTATAAAATCATTGAACACAGTTAAAATAGAGTGCGGCTATTTTAAAAAAGGTGTATTTATTTGTAAACATTTAACAATCCAGTTTGGTGGGGGGATCAAGCCCCCAACCCCCTCCCGTCCCAGCGTCCGCGCCACTGTCGCCGACATACGTCACCTTAGAACGGCACATCTCGTCCAAACGAGATGGAAAGTAAACGTGCCGCTTAACTAACCTGAAAACAAACTTCGTCCTCCGGCTTCATCAATGAAATGACGTAACCCCCTCCCCATTGGCCGTCCGCGCCGACCCCACGTGATCCCCGTCCAATTGTCGCGCTCTGTCCGTGTCGATTTTCACCCGCACGCCCTCGCACAATCGGCCTCCGAAGCGGCAACAGCGCGCCGACCACTCCGAGTTCCACCAGCGCAGAGGTCGCACCGCGTGGACCTAGTGTAGTTCTAGTTGAGAAGGCGCGTTCTGTGTTCATCTTCATTAATGGTTCCGCTCGCGTAGCCACCGCCATGCCCACGACTCCCGAGTGCGACTACGACATCGTGTCCAACGAGGGCCTGCTCTCGCTGCTGCGGAACGAGTCCAAGAAGATCGTCATCTTGGACTGCCGCAGCTCCATCGAGTACGGCGAGTGCCACATCCGCGAAGCCGTCAACTTCTCGATCCCCTCGATCATGCTGCGGCGGCTGGCGGCGGGCAAGATCGACCTGGCTTCCACGATCAAGTGCAGGGAGCTGAAGCAGAAGATCTGCAGCACGTACAAGGAGAACCTCTTCGTGCTGTACAACGACCTGTCGGGGGTGCAGCAACACCAGGCCGACTCCGTGCTCAACGTGCTGCTGCGGAGGCTCACGCAAGATGGTTGCCGCGTGGTGTGTCTGAAAGGTTAGTATCGCAATAGGCGTAGGGTAGGCCGGGCCGTAGCCGAGTTGTCTTTTCGGGCACCGCGGTGGGCGTCGGTGCACGCTCGCCTCCATTGTTTTGATCCACAGGTACAGTCGCTCAAGTGAGTCGTCGCCATGTTGCGCGTGCGCCCGAACACCTGCATTTAACTCTTCATTGAATATTTTTGTAATTAGGTGCGGAATGAATTATGTTTGATTCATTCATTATTCGAAGGAGCGCGATTGGTTCCGAGCTGCGAATTTTTATTGTTGCGGGATGGGATACAATGGGATCGAGAGACTGAAAGGGAATGTTTACGACGATAATTATGATTGTTTATGCGGGAATTGAAACAAATGATGTGCCGGAAGCGGCAGACGGACTTCCGGTTGCGGGAAGGACAATTGGAAGCACGGGAATTTGGATGTCGAAATGGAGTTGTGTAGCACGAAAGCCAAAAAACGTGCTACAAAAGGGGTTTTTAGAGAAATGGCGCGACTAACGAAGGCTGGGATTTCGCCTGGCCTTTTTCGGCAGTTATGCATAATGGGTGTAATTAATTTGCTCGTGGAGTTGACAAAAAGTCAGATTAATATAAATGAGTGCAATTTCAAGTTAAGCATTTTATTTAAAAAAAAATCTATGCAATTCTGTGCCCGGATGTTACAGATTAGCTTGAGATATCGTATATTGTATAATAATAAAAGCCACATTTGATGACAAGTTGGGTAGTATATATGCAAAAAATCAATACCTGGTGATTCAGTTTGGTATTTGCACCCGCCCATTGTTTTTTATTTATCTGTTAAACTAGCAAGACAAATATTACTAATGGGAATAGGACAACAAATTAAATGACTTTAAAATCTGCGCGTATTTTGACCAAAAACATTTTTTAATGGGAGGTATATATTTTAAATCGTTTTCTTGATTTTTTAATGTACTTGAGGTAACGTTTTCGTATATAACTGCAGAATTAAAAATATAATTTGCGTATGAAATTTCTTAAATGCTTCATTTTTGAAGTATAGCTTGATTTAAATGTTTACATTTCTTTTTTATTCAATTTTTCATGTTTACAGAATACCGATTCTGACCTGCAAGATTTCGGTATCTTTTCAGAAAGACTAGATATTATTTAAATACATACTGAGGAATCTCATATTTTAATTTCATTTTAGATGTAATGAAAATACCACAACCCGACTTATAAGATTTTCCACATTTTAAATAAGACTTATTGGGCAAAATTTTGCGATGACGTCACCAAGTTTTTGGATAAAATTTGATTACCGATTTACGATGGTCATCAGTCTGGTTTGCAGTCTCAAATAAGTTAAATTATAAAATGTTACTGTTCAGTGTTGTTTTTTCAAAAATTTTGAGTCTAGAGTACCAAAAAAGGGCTTAATATTGCAGAATCTCATGTTTTAATTTAATTTCTAATGCGATACAAATATTCAATTCTGTCGCAATTATTTCTTGTTGTTTTTACTTTCATATGAAAGTTAACCGAGTCTAAAAACAAAATACCAGATATACAAAATATGTAAACAGTTCTATTTGAAGAATAAAAGTTGATAGGTAATCTCCGAAAAAACTTAATAATTTAAATTATATATTCTTTGCAGTAAAGTACGCGTTTCTTTGATCTGCCACAGGTCATATTTGTGTTGGTACCAGACATTACAAAAGTAATCGATTGATATATTTAATTTTACTAATTTTAGCTTCTTGTAATCAGTTTTATAATTTGTCATTTATTTATACCAAGATAACAATAATTCAAATAGTTTCGTTATAAAAAACTTCGGTTTACTGTAAACCTAACTATCTTAAAAGTGAGATTCAGAACCGAATATTTTGTTGCTAAATACTCGATACGTAGATATGTCATAATTAACTCCAGCTGCTCGTGGTAGCGGCGGTATTGGCTGCGGTTTTGGTTGATATTATAGGGGATCGTAAATGTGGGCGTTAACATTTCTTTGGAATTAAGAAGAATTAGTTTTAATAACAAACACGAAAAAATTGGTCCAAGGGTTATTTCGATAGAACTTCCCTCGCCCCTGAAGTAACAGGTGTAGGCGTTGGATTTCATGGTATTTCAAAATGTAAGGTTATCTGCTAAATGGATTATATTAAATAGATATGCCGTTTGTGTCAAATTTCAACGCTTGCTTTGAGTGATTTTTCAATTGTACACCTGTAGCAATAAAACATATCCAATTTTTTTGAAAAAATGTAAACTTTGATTTTTCGAATTTTATTTTTTTTTTTTTAAAGCCCTATAAGTTAAAATAAAAATGTAAAGAAGCGTGCTACACGTATGTTTCAAGTGAGTTTTCTCCTTACAAAATTTTGTGTTAACTTCAACAACATTTTTGTAAAGACCCGTATATCAATTTGGATCGGTGGAGTGTAATATTAATAATAACAGTTTTTCGGGAAAATTGACTGAGCTGTTCCTGATGTAATTAATAAAATAAATTGACTCATTCATTAATTTTTTGAGTCACCTGTACAACCAATTCTTAAAAACTATCGATGGAATGATAAATCATAGATATAGACTCATCATATTTTGCACATTTTAGAGAAGATTTATTTGGAAAGTTTTGAGATGACGTCATCAGTTGTTAGGGAGGGTTGTAAACGAATAAATTTTGACCAAGGATTTACAATGTTTCCCATAACCTTAAAACGTCTGAAAGGTTTCACAGCAATGAATTTTACAATTGCAAGTTAAATTGTAAAATATTATTGACATTTTTTTTACAAAAATATCTAGTGTAAGCATTCAACACGGATTCATAAACTACAAGTGGAGGAATATATTTAAAATTTAAGTAACATTTACTGTTGTGAAAGTTTGAGATGACGCCATAGCATCAGAATATTAGAACAAAAAAAGGCACTTGGTATTTAAGTAATTGAAATTTAGTTGTAGCACACTAGATCACAATAATTTATCACGTGACGTGCAGTTTTTTATGAGCACACTCTATACATATATCAAAATGTGGAATTTGAAAATAGCTTCTAGAGATGTCATATCTTATGAAATTTACCTCCAATGTGTACTGTATATCACATTTTTCTTTTTTTGGATAATACGTACACATATTTGCTTTTGCCTTGTTTGTACTATTTTAAACCAGCAAAACCTACGGTTTTAGTGACAAGAAATAAGTCGCAAAACATGTATGGTTTTACTGGAATAAAAAGTATCCTCATTAAATTTGTCGCTTTCCGCATTTCATCGCCAAATATGACCACTAAAATTTACTCGATACTCCCAGAAGTAGCATTAAAAAAATTGCAACATCATTCTGGTCCGTCTGTAAAAATCACGCCACCAAGTCTGCTGCATCGTGTTGACGGGCATCAAACTGATAAATTTGCCTCGGTTCCAAAAAATATATATATATACCACAATAACGTCGAACGATTCAGTCAATAAATCTGCGGATGTTGATAGTCTTATCAAGTAATTGCAAGACAGCGAGATTACGGAGAAAAAGTTGGCGATTGTTGAAGCGAGATAGGAAGACTATTGACCACAAGCATGATAAAGAAGAGAGTTATCACGACTCGAACGTTGTACGGATGCAACGTGGAATAAATTTTATTGCACCATAAAATTTTCCAGTGCCATTTTACTTTGTATGGTAGATGCAACTTGACAACTCATAAGTAAAAAAGCAAAAATCGTCACACATGGGTACAAGCTGTTGAATAAGCAAGGTGAACACTGACAAAATCTGTGTATTGATGTATTTACAAAGACGGACAATAGACGTTTAGGCAACCAGAAATAGACCGAGACGGTGTGTCAATACATAGTGTGAGCAGACGTTGATAATTAATCGTGTACATATTTGAAAAATTGCACTTTTTGTATATTTATCAAGTGTCTGCCGTTATCAAATACATCCTAACTCTGCCGCACTGTTGTTTACTACTTATTACGAGAGATAACCGTCGCGAGTTTCGTTCTCTCCAAGTATCTCACTACACTCGCAATTTTTGTAAATTACGTAGGTAATTTACAGTTTATACATATACATACATGCTATGTTATAATAATTGTTAATTGCAGTAATGTTTTTGTTGTAGTCGTTTTATGTTGTTAATTTAAAAAGTAAACATAACGTAGAAATTACCCACAATGTTAACTATTGTGGTAATCTATTTCATAAAATAACAAAAAAACCAACCTTGTACACATCCGAAAAATTTCCGCTCGTCTGAATTTTTTGCTCAAACACAAATTTCAATAAAGTCGACTTAAACTATATACTACAAGTTCAATACATTATCGCTTGTTTATTATCGAACAGCAAACAACCTTCCATCTGCGATTTTACAAAGCCATTACGATCGGGTGTATGCACGCCGGGACATGTTCGAAACGTGTACAAACACGTAACTCATACCCAGCTCGTGGATTTATATGCACACCACCATTTCCTGCAATAATAATTTTCACCATTCTGTAAACAATAGTTTAAAATAGCGAGTTATTACAGTGTATCTTCAAATTTAACTATGTTCAAACAAACATACGACTTCCAGTGAAAGAAAAAAAAAGAAGAAAAATAATCATCAGACTGCATGCTAAGATTAGTCAAAGAATTGCTCGACTATAAACCGGGAACAAAAGGGGCGTCTGATTCATACCCCGCACGAACTTCGACACGCAAATCCAACTATTCGGGGCCCTTTCATGACGTAATGTAAACGTGGTTAAGACGTCAATAACATTCGATTCGTGACTCAACCTGTCTTGGGAATCGTAGAATGGAAACAAAATATTCATGAATGTGCCTACAAGTATTTTGACTCAGCCGCCAGAGTCCTTGGACCTGAACCTATTGAATATTCATGGATGGGTACAAGAAAAGACTTTATTGTATAATACAATGGAAAAGGATATCTTGGATTTCTAATAAATTTTGTCTATTGAGAGACGCAGTTGGTTCAAGTGATTGGGAGCA